GATTCTCACCCCTTTGCCATTCCTTCTGACCAGCTAGGCTCCTTCTTGATAACTGGATCTTTTATTGGCTCCTTTTCCTCCCCATTGTTTGTTCTTTCTCTATAATTTCCCCTTGCTATGATGGTCCATCCCTATGCATAGAATTCCCAAAACATGGTTAGATATGCTGTCCAAAGTTTTCACCACGCCCAATTAAACCCTGTCAACACTATCTTCCATAAGACCATAGCCTCTGCATGTGTCTTATCTCTGTATTTCTTAGGTCAATAAATGTCTCAGAAATAAATGCCAATGACTCTCTAATCCTAGTTTCTGTCTTGCACTTCTAAAGCATTTCTAATTCCTAGGATAACAATATGAAACAAGGACACCTTTAAATGTGAAAGGGAGCACTTGTAATAATTATGCTGGGACAACAGGCACACCACATCACCTTTCCTGTTCAACAAACTAGAACCATCACTTTCCTACCAGGATACCTCTTCTTCCAGAAATTATACCTGACTTTCATTTCTCTCTCATATTCTGCTTCTCAGGCCTATGAATTTCAGATAATTACCAAAGAAAGAACAACAGAGGCCAATTTTGTTCTTTTGTTTAAATTTCCACAATGGCCATCCTAATTCAGACCATCAATAATTACCTAAGCCTCCTTATCTCCAGCTTCTATCTACTCCAATTCATCAACAAATCTCCCAAAAATACAGGTCTGAGCAAATTTCTGTGCTCAGAAGCCACTGAGTTTTGCCAAAATAATCACCCCAACTTAAAAAAACACTCAAATGATTATGTGAACAAACTTTAATTATACTGTACTTGTCAAACCCAACCCATATTATAAAGCTTGTAGTTTTTAATATTTTCTTTGAGAAGATATCTCTCTTTTATAATCCTAACCACTTAAAAATATATCTAAATATATTCTCCAAAAGTCAACAACTAAAAACAAAAATAACTAATATTATTACCACACTGAAAATAATAAGTAATTCCTTAATATCAAGTATCCACTTAGTATTAAAACGTCCCATTGTCTCAAATTTCTTTTGTAGTTGGACTGTTTGAATGATGATCCAAACAAGGTTCACACATTGCATTTAGTTGACACATCTCTTAAATCTCGCAATTTACTTGAAGAAACTGGGTCACTGTCCTACAGAATTTTCCACATTCTAATTTTGTTGTACGCGCACCACATTATTTTGAATGTGGCCCTAATCTTTAACGTCCTGCAACTTGACCAGATTCAGGTTGTTTTTTAAATTATTGAACATGTCATATGTAATATGATAGATACACCTTCAGCATCATCTCCAATGATACTTATTCCATGAGCTCAAACTGCCTTTTCTCCCCATCTTCCAAAATAAACAAAAAGAAACATAAAAAATCTGAACATTCTTACTCCCACTTTGACTCCTAATGGCAACATCAACAAAGAAGCAGTTTATCATCTGTAACTTTCCTATCACCTTTTGACTAGAACTTTCTCAAACTCCAAGGACAGTCTTATCAGACTTTGAAACCATGGCAGGCCCTGGCACAGTCCCTAAATAGACCACTTGTGTTCAATACTACTTGGACTAAATTCTAGTTTTCTTTTTATTGGTTTTTAGGGAAATGATTTCAAGCACATAAAAACCTGTGGTTAAAGCCACATCTTCATTTCTCTTTCAAAAGTGGCAAAAATTGGTTAAAAATGATTTTTATTTCAGGACAAAGGTACTACTGCTATCATCCTTTTATTTACATCTTATGGTGAATTTTTAATCTACTTTAGCTTATTTTCTTAACCCCAGATAACTAAAATGAAGAGTAGCATACTATAATTCTAAGTAAAGATTGGCTATTTTTTTAAAAGGAAAAATAAAATTTAAAAATAATGGTTCAAGAAGTCAGGCATAGCGGTTCAATGGGGAAAATAATGGGATTACTTAAATGTAACTCCTTTTTACAACTCTAAAGGTTAAAATTGTGGTCTAATAATTTATTCTTTATTTAGGAAAAAAAATCTGTCAGCCTACTGAACTTACACAGATTACCAAGCACAACCACACATAATCAAGCAAAACCCAAATGTTTCTAGTAAGTGGTAGTGAATACATTATTTTTAAGAATTTATACAACTCTTACAAAAGAAAAAAAGCAATGGGAAAAACAACTATTTAGGGTCATGGTGACTTTCTTAGAAACACTTCTAAAATATGCTTGATTCTAAACTGGTTGATTTTCCTTTACATCTAATCAGTGACTGACTTAGTCTGTTCTTAAAATCAAGCTGCAAAATCTTTCAATAGGTGTTGATAAAGATAGTACTTCATTAACAAGAATTGGCAATTATATAGAATGTAAAAGAAGTTGGGGGTTCTGTTTTTGTCACCTTAACTTAAAGCAGCGGTTCTCAACTTGTGGGTTGCGACCCCTTTGGCCGTCAAATGACCCTTTCACAGGGGTCACCTAAGACCATCCTGCATATCAGATATTTACATTACGATTCATAACAGTAGCAACATTACAGTTATGAAGTAGCAACGAAAATAATTTTATGGTTGGGTCACAACATGAGGAACTGTATTTAAAGGACCAGAAGGTTGAGAACCACTGACTTAAAGGAAGGTTAGGGAATTCTGACCCATCTTAACCAATGGCAACCCAAGCGATTACTAGCAGCATTAGTACACCCACCCTCCTTCCACAGGCACCTTGCATTTTCCAGTCTCTTTCTCTCCCACAACTTTCCCTTTTATGAGTACTTATACAGAAATGACTTAGCCTTACTGTGGTACTCAAGGATTAAAAAAAAAATTTCCCTTGACGTGGCAAAGTAACAAACAGATATTATTATTAACTATTATTAAGTTCTAAGTGGCTTTATTATGTGATTTATGAATTGGGCAGCATACCATCTAACAACTAGAAGGGCACGCTCTATTATTAATTTGAAAATATCCATCACCTGCTTTTCCCTAAAAGATAAAGTAGGAAATATTTCTTATAAACCTCACAATCTTATTCAATGAGTGAAAAGTTACTATTGAACAGACAGGTCTATTTTTATCAATTACTATCATTATTATAATCAGTTTCTTCATTATGGTACCAATCTTAACATGTTATTTTCCTAACACCATGGCAAATACATTATTTAATTTAATCCTAACAACAACCTGATGAAGTCGGCTTTTCCCAGTCTGACAAATGAAAAAAAGTGAAGCACAGATGTTGAGCAATTTGCCCAAGGACCTATCACAAATAAATAACAAAGCTGAGATTGAGCCCAGACCTCTTTGACTCTTAGCTTTTTGTTTAGAATGTTACTTTCCTAAAGCTCTTGTTGTTTTATAATTTTGATGTAAGAGGTCTTTTATTAATTCATTCAACAAATATGTAAATTTTACTGAACTTCTGGCAACAGGATAAAAACAAAATTTAGAACAGACTGACATAAAATTACAAAAGTACTAATAACAAGTTGAATGTAATTAATATAATCATAAATGCTACTTATAAATCAATCTGAACCTGGCTGCTAAAAAGATTTCTGGGAGATTTCTATAGTAAAAAAGACCGTAAGAACAGCTAATTTGTATGATAGGTTTTCATTACTCATTCACCTTCCCTCTTGTTTTCCTATGTTCCCACAAAGGCCCAGGGGTTCTGACATGTTTCCAGTAACAATTTTTTATATAATAACAATACTGTCTTTCTGCAAAGAATCAGAAATGTTCCAAGATAAAATTTCTGGACTCTGAAAAAATTAATGTAGATTTATTATTTACAATACTAGAAAGAAATCATGCCTTTTTAACATCAAAGGTGACCTGCTGGAAACTATGCTCATACTTGAAGACAAGTTGGCAATTCGTTGCCTGGGCCAGTAATCTTAGGACTTTCCTTGGTAATGGAATTCAATCAAAGGTGGCTCAAAAAGCCATGTGAGTGAGCTTCAATATCCACATGGAAGAAAAAAGAAGGCCAGGATGTTCAGACTAAGGAACTCTAAGAGAATTTAAGTAATCTCTTTGTTAGCCACCCTCAATCCCCATCATTGCACCACTAGGCCAGCAGAAGAGTCATGCAGGGTGAAATTAAGGTTTCTATAAATAATCCAAAGCTCAGGGTCTGGACTGGAAGATCCCTTAATAGCCCAGCCAGAGCATAAGTATTTCTACAAAAAAAAAAAAAAAAAAAAAAAAAAAAAAAAAAAGAAACTTCCATAGGCTGCTTCTGCTGCTGATTTCAGAGAACTGCCCGGTATTAGTCCATTGCTACCAACATGTTTAACCAACTGGTCTGAACTCACATCTCAATTTTCCTTTCCTCACTAAGGCAATATAAGAGTCTAAATGCTGATAACCACAGATTTATAAATAAGCCAACCCAAGGCACTTCATTTTAAAAACACTTAAATGTTGATTTATTGCCTATCCATTTCATTTTAAACAAGTAAATATCAATAAATAAATGTACTTCTTATTTAGAAGTGAAACAAATGAAAAAATTTATTACAAGCATTGCTTACTTTACCCCCACCCAAAATTTATAGAAGTGTCCTAAGAACCTGGGTATCTTTACTGGAGAAGAGAATGATGAGAAAATTAGGACACTTATAACTGCTATAATATGATAATAGAGCAAACAGGTGGTTTTCCCCAAGGAAGTTAATATTTTCACCTTTTACTAATTTATGTTAAAAGCAGCAATGAGTTTCTATCAGAGGCACCAAGGTAAACATACAAAAAATTGTTGCATATCATATTTTATCACTTCCTGCTTTGCCGACTGATAAACATTATTTTACAATTTAAATATTTTTTGTTTGAAGCATTGACACCAACACCAACGTTTTTAATTTTAGTTCCTGCTACTTTACAGAACTTATCTTACATAATCTTTTAACTAAAACTGAAAATCTCACATTATACATGGAATTGATTTGTGGCAAGGGTATGTAAATCTGATGCCCTGGTTTAAAATGTTATAAAAACATGTTAAAATACCTTTTAATAGGGATACTTTAGCAAGCGGTTCATTTAGGTCTTGCTCATCCATTTGGGCGTCTACAGAGGGAAAAAAGATAATTATAAACAGTAGTCAACTCTATCAGCAAGCTGTTACTATCAAAATAAATAACCGAAATTTATACTTCTATTGTATTTGAATAGTTGAAATTTATATAGCTATTTTATTTGGATAGTTTTATCCATATATTCAGGATTCAAGAAAATGATTTGGTAAATTAAAGCACTGCTTTTCCCTCAAATACAAACTTTGAAATCTCCACCCACATTAACCTGCATATCTAAACTGCTTGGAAATAATAACATCTGCAAATTAGTAAACATTAGGTTAAAACTCACCTGTAGCGTCGTCACTACTTTTTTCTTTGCTGGGACTCAGAGTATCTGATAAATCAGATTCCTTTGCTCTTGCTTGGTTTTCTACCAAGAAGGAAAAAAAAGCAGAATCTCATTATAATTAAATAGCTTCTATCAATAAAACTACTTTCAGGCTATGCGTGCTCTAAATCTACTGTTATGCAAAATACTTTTAAAATGAACTCAGGTCACTAATCTCTTACTTCTTCACCACTCTAGTCCAAAATGGAATGCTGGTTATTACACGTAGCTCATATTAAATTATAATGTGGAGCATGTCTGCTGTGCAGAGGGCTGGGGCTTTTGTTCAAGGCTGTCCACTGGCCAACTGGAAACAAAAATGAAGCAAGCTTTGCTAAAGTATTTAGAAAACTGCAACAAATATAACAAAACTCTCAGGAAAATGTGGACATTTTATGAAGATGATGAAAGAAAATGGCTCTATTACATAAACAACACTAGTTTGTCTTAGTAATATTTATACATATAACAAAAGTAAAATAATTATTTGTTATAAAGGTAACACTTAAGACAGTAAAATTAACAGCCTTTAACTTATTTTAATTTTTTAAAAACATCTTTATTTTATTTATTTATTTTGTTAATCCTCAACCAAGGATATTTTTTCCATTGATTTTTTTTTTTTTTCTTAAGAGAGACTGGAAGGAAGGGAGGGAGGGGAAAAGAGAGAGAGAAACATCAATGTGAGAGATGTCAATTGACACATCAATTGGTTGCCTCCCGTACACATCCTGACTGGAGCTGGGGATTGAACCTGCAACCCAGGTACATGCCCTTGACCAGGAATTGAATCTGTGACCCTTAGGTGCTTGGGTTTATGTTCTAACCACTGAACACCACTGGCCAAGGCAAGAGCCTTTTATATCTAAAGAAAATTTAACTGTACCTGAACCACACTGAGAAAAAAACTTTTTAAAAAGTTTTTTATTTGCAAGTAGTGTGCTGCCTGATCCAATAAAGATATCCTAGGTATAGTTTTCAATGAAGTGCTCTCAAAAATCCTAACTGTAACTCCAACAATTAATTAAAGGTGACTGGGAATTAATTAGGCCCTAGATTCTCATCTAAAATACACATCTGTGGATACTATGATATGCATTATGATACTATTTACAGAGATGGTTATTTCTCTAATCATAATTCTTTAGCACCTCCCTGTTCTCCATAAGCCAATTAGCCATAACCTTGTCCCTGCATTAATTCCCACATGAGCTCTTTTTCAATTAGGCCAGCCTCTTAGAGAGCCAATGCATGTCAGCTCATTATGACCTGCAATTCTTTGCTTAAGTTGAATTCCCCTAAACTCAACGACCATTCTCTCTACTTGTCCTATTCATTCTGCAAGATACAGCTCTAAGGAAATCTTCATATCTATCTCCAGGATGCTGCTCCTTTTTATTGCATCTTCTTTATTGTATCATGTTTTTGAAATTAATTATGTTCTATTTCATGCCATTCTGTGTTTGTACATATATATTATTTCCTTAGTGAGATTATAAATTCCCTAAGTATATGATTATGTTTTATTATGCTATACATTTGTATTGTTTGTGGTGATAATGTATCAAAACTTAAATGCACATATCCACTTTTCGTACTTTCCCTAAAGAAAAAATAAACTACATATAGTATCTATAAAAATGTTCACTGCAGCACTGTTTATTATGAAATGGAAAATATTCAAGATATATTGAGCCCGGATGGTGTGACTCAGTGATTGGGCATCGACCTATGAAACAGGAGGTCATGGCTCGATTTCCGATCAGGGCACATACCGGTTTGCAGGCTCAATCCCCAGTAGGGGCGTGCAGGAGGCAGCCAATCAATGATTCTCTCTCATCATTGATGTTTCTATTTCTTGCTTCTTCTCCCTTCCTCTCTGAAGTCAATAAAAATATTTTTTTTAAAAAGATAATTGAGTACTATTAAGCCAAAATAAAATCTGTTAAAGAACAGTATTTATAATATGACCCCGTTAAAATTGAAAACAGCTATACAACTAGCTGTGAAATTCTTTTGTATATATTTATTCAAATGTAGAAGGACCTACAATAGAGATACCAATAGTTACTCTGGAAACAGGGACATGGTAGACATTTACTTTCTAATTTCACATAGTCATAAATTATTTGAAAAATTATAGTGAATATATACTGTCTTATAATCAACTAAATTAAGGCATATTTTCCATTTTGAAAACAGTCAGAAATCTATCTAAAATCATTACTGTCAAAATTTAAATATTAAAATATAACTTGTAATGGCTATTCCATTTAAGAACACCCCTAGAATTTGTGGCTTAACTTGTAAAAAGGATGATGGATTACAAAAAGCCTTTGCTTCTTTTCTAACTGTCTTTTCTAGTCAAAGGTTGACTACTGAGAGACGGAACTGAGATTAGAAGTGAAGTCACTGACCATGAAGGCCCATGGGCATCCAATCTGTTCTGGTGCATGCATAACGTGCTATAATCAGACATTTCCAAATGTCCTAGTTTTGATCACAAAGTTGTAGTCTCAAATAAGGCAGCTAGTACACCTAATCTATATAGATACAAACGGAACCACTCTGGGTAACAGAAAGGAAAACAGAAAAATGACTCTCTTCTGATTTTTATATTCTTGGCAATTTTATGATCAAGATATTGAGGTAAAACCAAGAGGGATATATTTTCAAAAGCATTCTTCGGGTTTAGAAAGAACATTTGTTTTATATTTAGAGTATTATCCAGGAAGGTAAAATTGCCTTAAAAGTTGGTCCAACCTTTTCATTAAGGTCCTACTAGAAAATAAGCTCCATGAAGGCAGGGATTTTTTTCAGTTTTGTTAATTGTTATAACGCCTCCCCCCCACACACACACACTGCATAGAACAGTGCACAGTTCATAGTAGTTGCTTTTTAAAAAAGGATGACAAAAGGCACAAATCTACTGTAAATAAAAAAGCAAAGTAGATTTTTTATTTAGTCAACTCATGGTCCACCATATTTATGTACTGATATTACAGTTACTAGAGGCCTGGTGCACGAAATTCGTGCATGAGTAGGGTCCCTACGCATGGCCGGTGATCAGGGCTGATTGGGGCCTTCCTTTGTTCCGCGCTGCCCCCTGGTGGTCAGCGCACGTCATAGCGAGTGGTCGAACTCCCAGTCGGTCGAACTCCCGAGGGGACAATTTGCATCTATTAGCCTTTTATTATATAGGATTATATAAAGGCAAACCAAATCTATTTAAGAATGAAGCACAATGCCCTAACCGGTTTGGCTCAGTGGATAGAGCGTCGGCCTGCGGACTCAAGGGTCCCAGGTTCGATTCCGGTCAAGGGCATGTACCTTGGTTGCAGGCACATCCCCAATGGGGGGTGTGCAGGAGGCAGCTAATCAATGTCTCTCATCGATGTTTCTAACTCTCTATCCCTCTCCCTTCCTCTCTGTAAAAAAATCAATAAAAAAAAAAGAAAAAAAGGAATGAAGCACAAGACACAACAAATGACTGGTAACGTTCCCCTATTCTTCAGCTATGAAGCAGCACCCAACTTTCTAGTATAAAAAGTCATTAGTAACCAATGTCACCCCAATCAATTTTAAAAATTTTTAAAAAGTCATTACTAGTTCATTTTCTCTGCAGTATTTAATCATTAAGATATATTCCAATAGTATACAGAAGGAAATAAAAATATAGCTACCAACATCAATAACAAAACTATTCCCAAACTGGGAAATCTACAACAAGGTGACTATTTTCACTGTATCTTTGAGTAGACATAACAATGGATGGGCAAAACAAACATATGGGCCATAGATCACTTTGTATACCATTAGAACCAGGAAATAGAGCAAGGTTAAGGATCAGGATAAGAAGGAAAAGGAGAGATGCCAGGCTGGTGTGGCTCAGTGGTTGAGTGTCTACTCATGAACCAGGAAGTCAGGGTTCAATTCCCTGTCAGGACACATGCCCAAGTTGCAGGCTCAAAACCCAGTAGGGAGTGTGCAGGAGGCAGCCAATCAATGATTCTCTCTCATGATTGATGTTTTTATCCCTCTCTCCATTTCCCTTCCTCTCTCCATAATCAACAAAAACATATTTAAAAAGAAAAAGAAAAAGAGAACTAACATTTGTGTGAATACCAGTATGGTGCTTCCTGCTTTATAAGCAATGGTTCATTAAATTCCCACAAAACCCTGCAAGTTAAATATTGCCAATCCCAGTTTACAAATGAGGAAACTGAGGTTTAAAGAACTAAAGTAATTTTCTGATGGCATACAGCTAGCGGTAGAACTTGAAGTTCAATCCAGCTGTCTACTACTTTCTTACTACTTTCACCCCTAAAGCAACTATCAACACACATTAACTGCAAGTTGAGTAAGGGCTTAAACAAAAAGCATATGCAGCCAATGATTACATTTTGCATTAGGTAAAATATATGAAGAAAATACTAAGATTGTACAGCTGATAACTGGCAATTTCTAGCAACTGATACTTTCAATGCAGAAAATTCCCCTAAAAACATTACCAATAAAACAAAAATAACACAATTTGGCCAGATGCAAAGAAAATACTTTATAGCCAGATATAAAATATTTAAAATGTAACTTATTTCAGCTATCTATTTTGTTACAAGTATTTCCTCTGCATGCTTACTGTGAGAAGTACTAGTAAAATGCTGATTGGAGACAAAAGATATCTCTGGGTATATAAAATTTGTATCTGTATTATTTTTAAAGGGTGTATTCTATTCTCTTGCATGAATTTATTTGCTATAATTTATTAATGGACACCTATGTTTTTCTCTTTTTGCTTTTTAAAACAACACTAAAACAGGCCCTGGCCATGTAGCTAAGTTGGTTAGAGTGTTGTCTCAATACGCCAAGGTTGTGGAATTTATCTCTGGTCAGGGCACATACAAGAATCACCCAATGAATGCATAGATAAGTGGAACAACAAATTGATCTCTCTCTGTCTCCCTCTCAAAACAAAAATCAATTAAAACAAAAACAAGCACAAAACAAAACCAAAAAAGTAACACTAAAATACCATTGCACATTTAATGTTTTACTTAAGATAAAAAGGCCAGAAGTAAAACTGCTAGATAAAAAAGCATCCTCTTTAGCCCTGGCTGGTTTGGCTCAGTGGATAGAGCATTGGCCTGTGGACTGGTTCGATTCCGGTCAAGGGCACATGCCCGGGTTGCGGGCTCGATCCCCAGTAGGGGATGTGCAGGAGGGAGCTAATCAATGATTCTCTCTCATCATTGATGTTTCTGTCTCTTTCTCCCTCTCCCTTCTTCTCTGAAATCAATTAAAAAATACTTAAAAAATAAATGAAAATTAAAAAGCATGCTCTTTAAAACGTTCAATATGTATTTTATAGCCAAATTTCAAAAGGAAATCAGTAAGATTGCACAAACCTCTTTCAAAAATGACATCACATAATTTTGAGCAAATATAGTTTAATTCAGAATGCATTAGAAACAAGCATCAAGATACTTTTCTTTAATTAAAGAGGCATTCATTTTTCCACCAAAGGCTCTACTTCTACTTCAAAGTGTTGCTTATTCAACCAACTAATCTGAATAGATATTTAGGTGATGAAGTACAAGCTATTTTAAAGTCTGTTCTCATCTCACTTTAATAAGATGAAATAAATTGCCATATGTACTAAAAATAGTTCACGTTCTGAAACTCAATGCCTGCTTGCCAGACAATATTAGTGATGCATACTCTATGCATTCTTTCCCCAAATATGGCATCTGCCGTGCACAAAATTCAGAATGGAAGCCACCAGATATTTGAAATAACACTATCCTTTATTTTTAAAAGCCAAATAAATCCAATTATTTTCATTAAATAGAATATACTGAAATTGAGTATTCTAAACTTTTATCACTCGTTGTTTTAAATGACCAAAATAATTGGGAATGTAACTTTAGATTTTAAACTGGTATGTTCTGAAAGAAGTCCTAGAATAACAAGAAGCATATCCCATAAAATTTGCCAATTTCCCTATGCACAAAAGTGACTTGACACTATGATGCTTTAAAACTCACTTTTCTTCTCTAAGTCTGACAACTGTATCAGAAAAGAATGAACAGAATAAACTACTTCAGGCAATTATAGGACTATTCATGATAAAATATAAGAAGATTCTACATATTCACTTTTGTTTAAATCAAATTGAGATACCAAAAATGAAGAAAATATTATCATAAGAAATGTTAAAGGTATAATATCCTCCCAAATGGAACTGCAAACATTTTTTACCTGTTGTTTCAAATAAGATTTACATTGTATTTGATTAAAAATTTGAGATCAAAGCTGAAGTGAAAGAGATAGCAACAAATCTTTAATACCTAAAGAAACCTATTCTAAGCACTTAAAAACACACACATATATACCCTTTTAAAAAGAAACTTTCCAATTAAGATATTCTTCTTAAAATAGAATTCCAACTATTTTATATTATTATATGACACTATTACAGGACAGCCATTTTTTGAGCTATAAGAAAGAAACTGATTTTTAAATACAATGACCTTGAAAATATACACTAACCTTCATTATCCAAGAGTTGGGAAACCCACAGAAAAATCCCACAGAACACAAACCTTTTGAAAGCTTTGTTTCTTCTACCACTTTGGTTAGATGCCCCTCGACGATCAGCTTCTCTGCCAAAGAAAATAAACGTTACTATCCAAGCCCAATCCGAATAGCATTTCCCTGAGCAGGGCAGTCAGTGCAACACATTCCATGACCAAATTTAAAGATGGTAACATTACTCCCATGACTAGGCTTGAACAAGAACTAGACCCTGGACGGGGAACTCAGAGAAATCAAACTCTCTAATAGAATAACCAGATTAATGCAGAAATCTGGAGGTTGGGGAACAATTTACCTTTTACTTTCATTAGTTTCCACCTTATTTTATTTTTAAAAAGTACTCAGAACAAACAAAGCAATCCTATTTAAATCAAGGCTATTAAGTTGAAATAAAGGAATTCTGAGAAGGCATGTTATTTAAATAAAGAAATAATACAAATTATGTTATACCAAGAGTTTACTTTTCCTTATTGATACTATTCAGCAGAGATGCCTATATAACTTTTTTTCAGTCAAATGAATCATTTTAGAAGAGCTATTAAAAAAATAAACTTTTATAGGAGGTTATCTGTAAATGTATAATGTAGCTTCTTTATAATTTATTTAAAGTCAGATTTTCATATTCTAAATTTCACTTAGGAGGATGATATAGCTATTCTGTATATCCCCTTATTTAACCCTGTATGTCAGTTGGTCCCCTTCAACTTACACTTTTGCCATATGTGATATAATTTCTCTATTCTTTCACTCTTCAACCTACTACAACTTGGTCTACACTCACAACTCAATAATCGAAACTGTTCCAAGATCACTATAACCTCCTATCTGCCCAAACCCATGGCTCCTTTTCAATTTTTCCCCTCCTATTTAGGCTCTTTATAGTATGTGGCACGATTTGCCCCAGCCTCCTTTTAAGAAAGCCAAATTAAGCCCCTCCAGTGTGGCTCAGTTGGTTGAGCATTGTCCCATGCATCGAGAGGTCTCGGGTTCGATTCCTGGTCAAGAGCATGTACCTCAGTTGAAGGCTCTATCCCCGGCCCAGGGGTACATGTGGAAGGCAACCAATCAATATGTCTCTCTCACATCAATATTTTTCTCTCCCCCTCTCCCTTCCCTCCTCCCTTCCACTCTATCTAAAAGCAATAGAAAAATATCCTTGGATGAAGATTAAAAATAATAATAAAGTTTTATTCTGCTTCCTATATTTTTTGTGTTTCAAGGTTGTGGGCTTTAATGACATTATATGCTACACTATTTTTAAAAAGATTTTAAATCAATTTTTAGAGAGAGAGGAAGGGAGAGAGAGAGAAACATCAATGTGAGAGTGAAACATCTCAGCTGCCTCCTACACACCCCCTACTGGGGAACAAGCCTGAAACTGGGGCAAGTTCCCTAACCAGGAATTGAACTGGCAGCTTTTCAGTGCACTGGACAACACCCAACCAACTGAGCCACATTTATAATTTCTAAATATTGATGCCTAGTTCAGACTTCTCTTTTAGGTCTCAGAACCCTATTGTCTTACTACTTCCCACATATCTTCACTCAGCAATCTCAGGAACTTAATCTCACCGTGTCTAAATTGGAATTTATCTTCTGTTCCTTTTTCCTCTGGATGGACTTGGTATATCTCTCTTCCCTTCTTTCCATTCCTTTTCAATTCATATCTCTATTAAGCTATTTCAACTTTCTATGTCTACCCTTCCCAACATACTATGAACTTTTAAGATTCCTTCAAATATTTACAACTATGCACCAGGTACAATACTAGGTACTCCTCAAAGATTATCAAGAGAAATGTAGTAGTAAGTCTAGGAATTTATTGTCTACAGAAAGCAGGAATAATTTTATATTAGGTATAAAATTATTATCTTACTAATAATTTTATACCTAATACAATTCTGACATAAAATACAAGTTCCACAAATGCTTGTTACATGAATATAGCAAATAATAAAATAATATAAACAGACTTTGAAAGCCATTCTAAACTTTCTCTAGTATGTTGAAAATTTAAGTACCATATTGTTTAAAAAATTATAAGCACATATCACATCAGGAGTAATTCATTGCTTAAAACTTTCTCACCTGCTGGTTTGGCTCAGTGGATAGAGCGTTAGCCTGCTGACTAAAGGATCCGGGTTCGATTCTGGTCAAGGGCACAGGCCTGGGTTGTGGATTCAATCCCCGGTAGGGGATGTGTAGGAGGCAGCCGATCAGTTATTCTCGCTCATCATTTATTTTTCTATCTCTTTCTCCCTCTCCCTTTCTCACTAAAATCAATAAAAATATATTTAAAAACAACTTTCTCACTTTTAAAATAAAATCTGAAGTTTCTACCATGACCTATAAGGCCCATGTGATCTAGCCCAGGGGTCAGTCATCAACAGCCCCACTGGGCCAAATCCAGCCTACTGCCTATTTGGTAAATAGTTTTATAGGAACACAGCCAGGTCCATTCATTTACAGATTGACATGGTTGCTTTCCACTAAAATGGCAGAGTTTAGCAGTCCCAACAGAGACCTTATAGTCTACGAAGCCTAAAATATTTACTATCTGGCCCTTTATTTTTTTTTAAAGCATTTTTATTATTCCAAAACTCCAATTTCAAATCCACCTTGGGTTTTCACAGTTTCTATCTCACAGACATTTCCCCAGATACATGTTATAACTCACTCAGTTTTGTACTATCTCTGTTCAAATCCCATATATTATTACTTTTGTCTCTCCCTACTGAATTATAACCTTTTATTTTTCTTCAGTGGACTCATCACCTAACATATTATTTTGTTGTTTTATTAGTTTTTGTCTCTTTAAGGAAATGTAAACAACATGAAGGCAAAGCTTTCTTTGTCTTGTTCATTTCTATACCCACAACAGCTAAAATAATGCCTGGTATATACACAGTAGATACTTAATAAATATTTGGTGAGTAAATAAATTTTTATAAAGGGATTAAACTTGGAAAAATTATTTGAATATTTTCCTCATTTTAAACTAAGGATTAAATACATATAAAAAGTTTTGAATAGTACTAGTATATAAGTGCTAAATAATAAATACTTGCTGCTACTATCACTATTGACATTATTTAAGGTTATATTTATTATCAAATATGGTGAATTATTAGTGGTCAGTAATTAAAGAAGAAAAACATATTATTTTTTTAAAAAATTTATAATCACTGGTTCACAAACTTGGAATGGAGACCTCAGCCCTTTAGGAGTACTAAAAAAAAAAAAAAAAGTCAGAGACCTCTCAGGGACACAAGGAGAACTTCCAAGTATGGACACTGGAGGTCTTAAAAGAGCTATTTACGTTGGCACAGCTAGAAGTTAAAATAGAGGATTTTCTTTCTTTAGGAAAACTCCCTATTTTTTTGAGGGATAGATAATTATTCATTTTCTCCTATTTTAAAACCATATTGTGAAAACAACATGAAAAAAGGGGCATAAAACACAAAAGTACAGGTTAATAAACCTTTTTAAAGCAAATGTCTGTATGACTACATCCCAAATCAAGAAACAGAACCTAACTCCTTCCCCCAAAGCCTTCCACATTTCCCTTTCCAATCTGAGTTCTATGGTATTTTATTTCTTACATTTCTTTATAGCCACAATACCTATATATGCATGACTAAGGAATAGAATTTTAGTGGTTTTGACTTTTATGTAAATGAAATACTACAGTATATATTCTGTTGTATCTGGCTTCTTTTATCCAATATACTTCAGTGTATTTATCTATTTGACTACTGATGGTCTTTTGGGCTCTTCTGAAGTACTGTAAATAATGTGGCTATGAAAATTCTTAAATTCGTACCCGATATATATGTGCAGGCATTCCTGTAAGGAACCTACCAAGGAGTAGAACTGATGAGTATAAGTTTGACAATATTTGAGAACCATCATTAAACACTTAGTTTAGTCAGAAAACATGGTGGAGTTGCAAAAACTATCATAACCAAATTTATTTCCTGGTTGATAAAAATAAATTATGCACTAACTACACTACTATGCACACTAAATAAAAATTAGGAACAAAGCAAATGATGTAGTCAAAAGAAACTTCAGTGGAGCACAGGTATGATTAAGTTCTTAAAGCTAAAGAGCTACTTTTTTCTTTTCTTTTTTTAAAATTAAATCTTTATGGTTCAGATTACACTTGTTCCTCTTTTTACCCCCATAGCTCCCCTCCACCCCATTCCCACCCCACCCTCTGCCCTTACACCCCTCCCCGCCACTGTCCTCATCCATAGGTGTATGATTTTTGTCCAGTCTCTTCCCGCACACCCCCACCCCTTTCCCCCCGAGAATAGTCAGTCCACTCCCTTTCTTTGCCCCTGATTCTATTATATTCACTAGTGTATTCTGTTCATCAGATTTTTTATTCACTTAATTTTTAGATTCACTTGTTGATAGATGTGTATTTGTTGTTCATAATTTTTATCTTTACCTTTTTCTTCTTCTTCCTCTTCTTAAAGAACACCTTTCAGCATTTCATATAATACTGGTTTGGTGGTGATGAACACTTTTAGCTTTTTCTTATCTGTGAAGCTCTTTATCTGACCTTCAATTTTAAATTATAGCTTTGCTGGGTAAAGTAATCTTGGTTGTAGGTTCTTGCTATTCATCACTTTGAATATTTCTTGCCACTCCCTTCTGGCCTGCATAGTTTCTGTTGAGAAATCAGCTGACAGTCATATGGGTTACTCCCTTGTAGGTAACTGTTTTTCTCTTGCTGCTTTTGAGATTCTCTCTTTGTCTTTTGCTCTTGGCATTTTAATTATGATGTGTCTTGGTGTGGTCCTTTTGTTCGGGGTTCTCTGTGCTTCCTGGACTTGTAAGTCTATTTCTTTCACCAGGTAGGGGAAGTTTTCTGTCATTATTTCTTCAAATAGGTTTTCAATATCTTGCTCTCTCTCTTCTTCTGGCATTCCCATAATTTGGAGGTTGGTACACTTGAAGTTGTCCTAGAGGCTCCTTACACTATCTTCATATTTTTGGATTCTTTTTTCTTTTCCAGTTGGGTGTTATTTGCTTCTTCGTATTTCAAATCTTTGACTTG